TCTTACCAGCATTAAGCGTCTGCCGATAACCTTGCTGAAACCAGTCTTCTGGCTGAAATGTGAGAGAAGAGTAAGAATCCATTAAGCTGTTTACACTGTACTAGAATAACACTTGCTAGGTATGAAGCCCCTTCCCCTTGAGGACTGGACCTGGTACCATCTAAACTTGATCATACTAATCTCAGAAATACTGTAGCATGGTAGGTAATTATAATTTCTTACAGATAAGGTTGTTGAGACACAGACAAATAACATGTCCCCAAGTAATAACAAGACCCAGAAATAAAACACAGCCTGTATTTATTATAAAAAAATGAGAAGGTAAATTGTAAATGGCTGTTTGCCTCTCCCTAAGACTGGTACTGCCTAGCAACAATTGCTAGATAGGATAAACATCATTAAGCGTAAAAAGTTTAGTGCCTAAAAGACATCAGCAGTGCTGATGTGGAGTCTTGAGGTGTCTCCGTACTATTTTAAAATATTATCTGGCTTTGCATTTTGGGTCTAAGAGTAATCCCAGCCTTGCCCATGGTATGTGTGTGCATGCCTGTGCACACCCCTATGTATGTAATGGAATTTGTATTGCCGCAAAGCTATAATTAAGAATAGTACAGAAATGCTTCTGCAACCAAAATAAAAAGTGCAACTCTTGCGCACTACATACAGAAGCTTCTCAGGAAATCATTCCAGCTCTTTCCTCCTGTCGAGCTGGGGAATATGCCTCTTCGACAACCTCAATGACACCAAGCTGGGCGGGAGTGTTGATCTGATGGAGGGAGGGAAGACTCTGCAGAGGAGCCTGGACAGGCTGGATCGATGGGCCGGGGCCAAGTGTGTGAGGTTCAACAAGGCCAAGTGCCGGGTCCTGCCCTTGGGTCACAGCAACCCCATGCAACGCTACAGGCTTGGGGATTCTATGGTTCTGTAATTTCCTCTGACAGAAAACACATCACCTCACCAGCAGCCCTAGAAAATGACAAAGCATCCCTGCTGAAGAAGACTGACTGCCAACCGCTTTCGTTGCCGCTGCAGCGAGGGGGACGGGAGGAGGGGCGTGCTGCAGAAAGTGCAGGGAAGTAGAACCATTTACCTGCCATGCTACCCGTAGACCCTCACCGTGATGCCTTGTATTGCCGCAAAACGCTCATCTTGTAGTCAAGGTGTGACCCTTGAAGAATTCATTTGAGCCAGAGGGTACAGAGCCATTTAATTCTAAAAGAATAATTTATACTCCTGAATCTGGATAGTGTGAAATTCTCTTACGGTGTTTGAGCCAAGGCAAACATTTCCATGCAAAATCTACACCTGCAGATCTCTTACATATTTAAGTGACAGAACAAATGCGGCTCAGTCACAAACTGTGCCATGTGCATTAACCTGTAGCAGTGGCAATATCGTCGGAAGTTACTGTGCAGTTTCTTAAAGGCGTTGTAGCACTACTAATAACAAAATCTGAATTTATTGAAATATTTGCTACTCCAATTTGGCATAAATGGGTAAGGTATTTTAAATAAACCTCAAAATTCTCTTGAATCGTGCATTTCTGAATCGCGCCCAATTACATTCAGAGTCTGTACGTCAAATGATACATCAGGAAGGAGGATCTTTATAGACAATTGTCGCAACATTTCCCATTACTTCAGTGTATTACTGTTTTTTTTTCTTTTTTTTTTTATAAGCCAAAATTATGACAAGATGAGAACATTTTATGGTCACTGAATATTTGTGGAACTCTTGCACCAACATATTTTTTCCCACGCTAAAGGAGTAACTTTGTAAGTCAGAGTGACAGACATCAGTGGTGTATAGATATAAGCACACCACCTCTCGTAAATACACTAATACTGTATTTTTATATAAATATACTACAATGGACCAGCTTACTGTTATGGTGGAATTACACATTCACATAGAGGACTGCATAATTCACATTGCTGTATGAACGGTTCTAGTTCTCGTGTTGCAAAGATAATTTTCAAGCTGCAAGCTGGGTGGAAACCGATGCTGTCATGTCTGCGTTAAGTGTTAGAACAGCCTGAAACTCAAGCCTGGAGAGTTTTGAATATGTCTTTTTTTCATTTTGGTGGGGATTAGAGTCTTGGCATGTAGTGGAGTAGAAAGCGTTGGAGTTTCCAAGAGTTGCTGAAGTGATGATGAAATCTATGGCTGGAGGTTTTTCTGTCATATAGCTGGGTGGTCATCTGTTGTATGACAGAAGTGATCTCCGTTTTTTATTTGTGAGATGGACATCTGCCAATTATTTTGCTAAAAGAGGAGCGAGCCAGAGGACCTTTGGGAAAGA